CCTCCTCTCCTTCCCACTACTTATGTTAGGGTTTGTATCGTTTTGGTTCGATCTTTAGGGTTTTTGAACTTTCAAATGATTCCAAAAATTCTGAAGTTTACGAATTTCAAAATTAAAACTTGGTTTTTTTAACACTATGCCAAATGTTAATCCTAAGAGAAAAGATATGCAAAATACTAACCAAAAATATCGTTTTTTATGTTTTCCCTTTATATTTTCTCTCTTGGGGATAAACATATTGCCAAGTTTAACAAAAGCTACAATTTTGAAATGAAAATCTTACAAAAAGTTTTTCTTTTAAAAAACCTAAACGAGTAACAACCCTATCTATAGTTAAAGGAAGTTACGCCAATGTCTTAATAATATCGGGTCTTACTTAGAACATTAGAGGTGAGACTAAGCGGTTTAGAATCGAGACTAAGCATAAGAGGGTAACGCACGATTCACAACGGTACCCTTAAAACCTTTTTCTGGTCAATAATGTGGCCTATGGATGATATTGTGGTTTTTCTAGGTTTAAGTGTTTGATAATTCCAGTTTACAGAAACCACAATTAAAAATAATCAGTTTTTAAACTTATAAACGTTACTATCTAATTTATTCTAGATCAGCCAAAGCTTTTAAGGTACCTTTGTAAATCGGGCATTGCTGGAGGGTTACATGAAATCACACTAACGGTCCCTTTAACTGAGAAATCTTCGATTTTCAGGCCAAGCATTGTGCTCTCTCTCTAGTCGGTGAACCAATCATGTATCCAGAAATTAACAAATTTGTCACCTTGCTCCATAGTAAGGTAAGTAGAATTTAATTGGATATACAGGGTGTCCCACATCATAGTAGATCGTGTATAGTTCAAAATGATTTTAGGGACTAATCAGAAAATTAAAAAAACAATGAATCATTTTTTAAAAATGTATAAGGTTTCCATAAAAGATTTCTTCCAGAAAATTCTATGTTTTTCGAGTGTTATGTGCGTATTTTGGCGTTAAAGCTTGGAGATAATCTAATATGATTTGTGACGCTCTGTATGATGTTTAATGTGCCTATAAAAATTTGAAAATTCATTAATAACCAATGTTTTTTCTGAAATTGCATTAAATTGAGAAAACCATGAATGAAAAAAAAAATTAGCTCTCCTGAATGTCATAAATTGACCCCGAATTTGAAAGCTACAAAATGAAAATCAAAAATGTAAAAAGTTATGGTTTTTCACATGTATTTTTATAATTATGAGGTCAGATGTTAAATATTACCACTTTTAAAACCCTTGTCATGAATTATTCAATAAAAACTTTTTTTTAAATTATGTTTATTATATTTTTAGGGAATCTCATCTTTCTTAGTAACCAATGCCCAGTTCCCTGATGCAATCAGGAAAACAATGCTTTTATTCCTGATAAATATATTGGATAATTTTTATAATATTGAAAAGAAATATTTTTTTTTTAACTTTTTTATGAATAATTTTTAAAAATGCAGAATTATTTTAAGTATTTTTTAAATATTGAAATTGTATTGTATATTGTATTGAACAGACAACTTATAAACTTATATCTTAAAGGAAAGGACAATAATTTCACTGCTTTCTTGTCACCACTGCACAGTGAACACTGTACTTGACTCACTTATTGCATACATTGTACAATGACCAATTTTTAATATCTACAGAAACCTACTCTGTATGTTATTGAATTAAATAGAAGTGTTGTGAAGGGATATGTCACCCTGTACTCAGCTCTACGTTTCAATTGATGCATCAACTAAGGTAAAACAAGATTTTATTTACATGTACACTTTTGTACACAGCCGATCAGGATACACTATAAATATAGACGGACATTCAGGGAACGCTGTTCACGTAAACATACATTCACATTATCATGGAAACAAAGTTAAGCTTTCAGAAAACAGCTTCTCTTTGTTTACTTGTAAACTTGTAATTCAAAAAAAGCTTGTCAACAATCAAAACTTGAATATAAAAGTCGTCTTTAGTGTATTAATCGCCGACCAATGTCAGTTCTTTTAGAGAATATCAATTATAAGAATATTAAAAAAATGTTTTCATATTTTTTGGATTAATTATGATTTCTCTTTAAAAGTGACTTTCATAGTTTTGCAATAAATACTGTAACCATCCACCCCCACCACCCCACCCCACCCTCAACCCTCCCAGACAGAGTTCAGCACACTTAAGACAGGAAAATAGGATTTAATAGATTTTTTTTACATGTCTCACTCTATGTACTGTACAAATACATCGCACATGTACAGTGTGCACTGTATGTATGTTTACATGAACAGCTTACCCTGAATTTCTCTATACGTGTACAGTGTACACTGTATGTATGTATGTTTACATGAACAGCGTACCCTGAATTTCTCTATACATTTATAGTGTCCACTGTATGAATGTATGTTTACATGAACAGCTTATCCTGAATTTTTCTATACATTTATAGTGTCCACTGTATGAATGTGTGTTTACATGAACAGCTTATCCTGAATTTCTCTATACATTTATAGTGTCCACTGTATGTATTTATGCTGTTACGAAGCTTGTTAGAAATTAACATTTATGCGATGACTAATAATATTCTAGGATTCTCTGAAAAAGATTGATCGTCCTCTCTTCAAAGATTTCTGGGAAAGGTTTATGATGAGCTTAAAGGTAGATTTGTTAAAGTATTTCTGTACACTCAGGTACAGGGTTATTCATAAAGGTGAGTTTATTCAATCGTCTCAATATCATGGTTGTCCAATGTCCATAGCTTTTATCTTATGAATTTCTTAGCCTAATTATTTTGCATCAGAGAAAATTCAGCCTTTAGAACTTTTAAGTTTACTTTTAGATCATCCTTTTTATCTCTCATCCCTTCTTGTTAACCCTGTATATTAGATTAACTTCACAAAATCTGTGTTGTAACTTGTGTAAACGTAAAAAAAAAAAAAAAAAAATTATCAAATTAAGCTGCTGTTCATTTTAAAAAAATAAAGCAAAATTGTGTGTAGATCTTTACCTCGCATTTGTCCCCATTTTGGGGAGGCCATGTTATTATAATTTTGACCNTTTGCAAAAATGTACAATAAAGAAATTAAAACTGTTGTTCAGGAATTAGATAAAAAAGGACAGAGAACAGTCTACAGGCTGACACTGGTGAAAGGATGGAATGCTGAGGTAAAAAAAAAAAAGTAAAAATAATAATAATTGTTATTTCCAAACTTGACCAAGCGCTCTGCGAACTTTTTCTTGCAATTAAAAATGTTGCTTAACCTGGGGTTCCCTTCACTTCCCTGTATAGTGTATAGTAGGTGTAAATACCAACAAGCAAATCAACTAAACTAACCAATAAACAAAATAACAATAAAACCGCCTACTAGTTACTTCAGTTACTACCGTCAGTGACCATAAATAAAAATAATGAGAAAAAAATAATTTAAAAGATGCTTTTCAAGGAAGTTAAAGAAACTATACTTTAACCAAGAGTTCCCAAGAATAAATTTACCAATGGGAAAAATTGGCAGAGCGTGATGTTTGACTTTATTGTCCCTAGGGGCGTTAAGTAACTTAGCGTCCCTCTGTTGTGGGAATCATGGGTCTGTGATGTTCGTCAATATTTTATACAATTTAGGAGATGGATAACTACGCTGCTCTGGTGAAACTAGGAAACCCGGATTTTATTGAAATTAAAGGAGTTACTTTCTGCGGGGATTCCAAAGGTATACATTTTTCTCAATTTTCTCTACTTTTTGTTTTCATTTTTTATGCTATGTGTCCTTTTTTTTTAAGATTGTTAATTTAGCTATTTCATCAAATGAATACTATTAAGGAACAATTAGGAAGGGACATGCCCGATTCACAACGGTACCCTTTAAACCTTCATCTGATCAACAATGTGGAAGATAATGTCGTTTTTCTGGCTTGAAAACATTGTTGTGAATCGGACATGCCACTCTATAAGAAAAGGGTCACTTGAAATTACGTGTACAGTCCCACTGCAGGCTTCAAGAGGTCAATCTTAAGTTTTATTGTATTTTCTTTTAAATTCTAAAGGGATTGTTAACAATATTTCCCATAAAACTCATCTCCAAGAAATGAATGTTAAATCTGAGCAGGAAGTTGTTGGCAATCTTCTATTTCAGAAAACATAGTATATTTATACCAGAGATAGGTTTAAGGGGCACTGATGTAAATAGCTTATTGCACTCTTTTAAGGAAATCCTTTTTGAAAAACGTAGATAGTCCCTTTAACACTGTTTTTATTTAGCTTCAAGTTTAACTATGGAGAATGTTCCTTGGCACGAAGAAGTTGTCAAGTTCGTTCAAGAACTAGTTGATAGGTAGGTTCATTCAGGCATTCATCCATTCATTCATGCGTTCATCCTAGTTCATTCAGCCATTCATTTATTCATATATTCATCCTTCCTTCCATTCATCCTTTCATCCTTTCATATGCCCATTCATTCACCCTTTAGCATCCTTCAATTCATACTTTAAGTTATTCTTTTCTTCATTCATCCTAGAGCCATTTAATAGGAGATACCTGATATATCATTGATTTATTCATCTAGTAATTCATTCTTTCTTTTTTTGATTCATTCTTTGATAATTCTTTACTTAATTTCTTAGTTTATGTATAAATAATTTCTAAACCTATGTACCCTTAGTTAAGCTCTTAATGCATTCTGCAGTAATTTGCAGTACACTGACCGAAGATATAAGAGCGTTTGGTTGACAGTGTATTTCTTGTTTAAGATTACTTGATTATGAGATATCATGTGACAGTGTATTTCTTGTTTAAGATTACCTGATTATGAGATATCCTGTGAGCATGAGCACTCTAACTGTGTCCTTGTCTCTCATAAGAGGTTTAAAGTTGATGGCAAGTGGAATACATGGATTAATTATGACAGGTAGGAATTATTTACAGTGAGACCCATAAAACTGTGAAACTGGATTAACTTTGAGAGGTAGGAACTTCTTACAGTGAGACTCATAAAGGGGGGGGGCCACAAAACGTATTACTCTCCGGAAAATTTAAACAGTGGTTAAACATAACTTAGAATTGTCGTAGGAGGCTGATTTTTTGCATGCAAACTCAGAATTATGTATATTACGTGCATTTTTTGGTTTTGAAGGAATCTGAGCAAAAGTGCGCGCGCGCGCGCGTTTTTTGTGAAAAAATTGTTTAAATTTTCCGGAGAGTAATACGTTTTGTGGCCCCCCCCCCTTTGTGGAATAGGAATACATGAATTATCTATGACAGGTGAGAATTTCTTGCAGTGAAACCCATTTAACTGTGGAATAGCGTAAGAATACACACCTTGGGTATCTGCTCAGCTAGAGTAAGTCCTCCTAGTTCAGTCCGAGCGCGTTTGGGCGTGCGGTCTCGTCTAGGTGAGGAGTAGCAAGGAGAGGGACCACCTGGTACCGCACAAGCAACAGGAACAGGTGCGCTTCCGGATCAGTCCTCTGGGGTTTCGAGAAGGACGAGAAGAGACGAGGTTCAGACTTGTATACGAAGTAAACACGGAAAGGCCTTAAGGTCTTCGGTACATCAGTATCTAGAAAAAGGACACTGCTAGAGATATGACATGGTAAAGAAAGATAGACAAGGACATAATAAAGATCACAAAGTATCAGACATATAGCAGTGCCATCCTGGAGGACTCCAGAGGAGATCAGGAGAGATAGTGCAGCCATGAACGGAACCTAGATATAGGTTGTGTGAATGGGGTGGCGTAGGTATACCTGGATTAATTGACAGGTAAAGTTCTAAATAATTTGAGCCGCGTCTCAAATTTAAGACGCGGCTCTAACATGGTTGGTTCCACTTGCAATTGTATTCAATGTTTCCAGATTTGAGTATTCGCTCAATTGGAACCAGTTTTTGGCGATTCAGCGACGTGGTTTAAATTCTTTAAATTTGGCCTCTGGTAAAATGATTTGCATTATATCAATATCAAATACACAACAGCTTTCTGAAATGTTCACTTCGTATTCCACAGTTCTAAAAGTGTTGTTCAGCACTTTTTTTTAGTATCCATGCTTTTCTGGCATACACACTGAATCCTTTAAAAAAATCAGACCAGATCTGAACAACTAGATCCCATATAGACATGGCCAGGTGGTGGAGCTCAACCCAGATTTAATAATATTATAACCTACAGGACATGGTACTTTGATTGTAGGTTGATTGTTGATAATAATAATAATGTTTGATTATATAATATACAGTGAGAACAAGAAAACTCTGGATGAGAAAGACGACTTTTAGACTCAAGTTATTATTTTGATTTGGCTACTGAACATAAGGCACAGAAAATGTGCAGTGTACACAGTCTCATTTTTACTTAATAAGCTTATAATCTAGCTACTTGTAAAACTGTTTTCTTCATAAACACCTTTAATACTTCAAAAATTGCTCAAATTTCATCTATTCCAGAGTTTTATCAGTCTCAATGTACTAAAAAATTGTTTAAGGTTTCATGAGTTAGTTCAGAGATATTACGCGTCTAACGGTCAGGAATCCTTCACAGGCAAAGACTACATGCAGGTGGGTTATTTTTTTTATCAAATTATCGAATATTCACATTTTTTCGGGAGGATATTTCTTTGCATTTTTTTTTTTTTTTTAATACTTGATTACATTTATGAGATAAAAGTTATATTTGTAAGAACATTTTTAAAAATTATAAAGAAGTCGCTACAGATTTGGTAATTTGTAATAGATTTATCTCACAATATTTTCATATTTTCATAGTTGCAACATCACAAATTAGTGGTGTTTCCAACTGAAAGATGAGTAAAGACAGGCTCAACAGTTTTATGACAACTCACATGATGTTAGGAAAGGTTTATGTCCGTCATGGTTGAAATATTTCGTCTGAATAAAACATTGACATTCATTATTTTTGGAAATGCACCAATTTAAGCAGAAAAAAAACAGCGAAATACGATGAGAAATAACATGAGAAATAACATGACATATTCCAAAGATAAAATAGGAAAAAAAATACTTTTACTTTAGTAGAGCGCTTAAAATGATATTTGATTTTTAATTAAGGAGACCCCGAACTGGGCTGTTTATGGCAGTAATGAGAGAGGATTCGATCCTGCAGAGAAAAGGAAAAATTCTAGAAAAATCTAGCCAAAAGTTAAAAATTTTCCCATAAAAATATTTCCAAAAACAAATAGAAAATGGAGCAAAGTTTAAACAATCCAATTTTTTTTAATTACTTTCATTTTCAAAGTTTTTTTTTAATTTTGAATTTTTCCCTTGAATCAGATGGAAGCGGAAAGGCAAGGTTGAAGTGAATGTGGATGGTGGCTGTGGTTAAAAATGTGAAAATTTGTGATGAAATGTAAATTTTTTCAGATTTATAAATGATTTTCAAATAATATTTTTAAAATGGCGGAGGATAAAAAAGAGAAAAAGCCACCGATAGATACAGCTAGCTGGTGTTACAGGTATACAGTATAGTACAGTACAGTACAGTACAGTACAGTACAGTACAGTACAGTACAGTTCAGTACAGTACAGTACAGTACAGTACAGTACAGTACAGTACAGTATAGTACAGTACAGTACAGTACAGTACAGTACAGTACAGTACAGTACAGTACAGTATAGTACAGTACAGTACAGTACAGTATAGTACAGTACAGTATATTTATTTACACAATGTATACACAAATTGTTCCATGTCTGTTTTAATATAGATAATTTAGATATTATATAAATAAATAAATAAAATGGTCAACCATCATCCCATGGGAGTCAGGGTTAAGCTCTCATCAAACCGTACCACCATATTGGTTGGCAGGGCGTCACTGGTCCATGTTTCTATGAAACAAAGTGTGGAGGGCCAGGCAAGAGTCAAGTTAAAAGGCGGGCTGCCTTAAAACCGTTAGCACACTCTCCATAGCCTGACTGGTCCTGTCGGTACCAGCCAGTATAGAGGTTTAAAATAAGTAGCAGATAGATACATCTGGGGTAGGCAATAAATGGACGATAATTGAATCATAAAATATAAAAATAAAATTAGAAGATATTATATAGATACTACATATAAATATTATATAGATATCTAATTCTACATTTTCTCCAGGGATAAGGAAGATGATGTCCACCATGATTTTGCCTGGACAATTACTAATTTTAGGAATTCATTTTTAAAATAACATTTTTGCTCAAAACTCAGATTTTCTAATTCCTATAATCCCCAATAGATATTTTTACGAATTCTGACTGATTAAATAATTTTAATTTTGAAATATCAAAGATTTACTCCATCAGGGTGTTGTGTTACAAAATATTTTCTTTCTTGATTTTGACCAACATGATTCATATTTTGAACTTGCTTCTTTGCATTTGTATTTTCACTTAAAAATGAATTGTGACCTAAAAATACACAAATATTTATGGAATGTACCTTGTTTTTTGTAACCAATTGGAACATTAAAGGGGGGTAAAGGCTGAAACCTAATCATTTTGAGAGAGATAGATCTTATGGGTCTCGATCAACCCTTAAAACGCTAAGGATTCAGCCTATACCCGCTTTCATTTTTCCTTTACAGTCCCTTTAATAATCGTATTTTAGTTATTTTTGACGAAGGCTCAGTCCTGAATTCTAATCGGAATGATCGATTGTTTTCTTGTTTGTTTAATTGTTTGTTAAAATGAATATGAGTTCAGTCGAAAGATCAATGGTGTTCCCAATGGTGAATACATTGAGTCAGATAAATTCAGTGTAACAGCACATGGGATGGATCTGGAATGGCAACTTTGTCTCTACCCAGCAGGTACTCATGGGACCCAGGGGCTTAACCCCCCCCCCCTCACCCACGCTCACAAAACTCAAACTATTGACCTTACTAATAAATAATAATAGATGTCCTGCAGGATGTGACGAATATATATATAATATATATGGCTAGCTATCTATCTATGAACCGACTAAGCTATCTACCATCTATCTATCTATCTTTCATCGAGTTTAACATAAAAATAAGCGAAAAAAGAAAAAATTATTCTATTGTTTAAAAATATCAGAAAATCTTATTGAAATTTTCATGACCTGGATCCGCATCAAAATTAAATGGATCCTAAGCACTGTTATTATTATTATTAACAATCAACCTACAGACAACGTATTACGACCTGTAGGCTGGAACACATTGAAGATAGGGTTGAGCTCCGCCACTTTCCCTGGTCTATATGGGATCTAGTGGTTCAGATCTAGCCTGAATTTTTAGGATTCAGTGTGTATGCCAGATAAGCGTGGATACTAGGGGAGAAATAAAGGGGGTGCTTTGCAAGCACTTACAGGATATGGTACACACTTCCATTGATTGGTTCATTGGTTGGTTTAAGTAATCCTGACCAGGGAAAGTTCAGTAATGAACCGGTAAATAAAACTTTTTAATTTATTGTACCTGCAAATTTGAATGTTCTTACTGGGATTGCCGTGATCGTCATTTCAATTCGCCAGGTGCCTTCATTCCATTTTGCCAATGAGTTAATTAAATACAGTCAGTAATACTGGAACACTTTAAATATACTTTTTAACTTATTAGTATAAGAACTAGCGTTAAAAACAGTAAATATGGCGTGGAATGTTTGTTACTAAAGTGGTTCATGGACTGGTGTGAGCCATGATTCAATCATTTTACCCAGCTTCCTACCTCTTACCATTAGGGTTTGTCCTGCTGAACCATCTCCGCCAAGATAAGCTCTTAAAACCCGGACGTTAGCTATTGGGCCTTTTGCTTTAAACTCAGACATAAATTTTGAAATGTATAAATCTCTTCTGAGCTTGGCTACTATTGGACACTCAAATATAACATGAGATTCTGTTAACTTAATATTGAGGCCTAATAACTCGCAGTGTGGGCAAACATCATAAATAAATCCATAACGGTTTTTATACCTATTGCCCAGCTGAGCATTACCCCCTCTTACTTGGCATAAAATTTTACTTGATTTAGTATCATTAACATGGCTTTGTATTTTAAACCAATTCCAGGGTTGGGGGGTTGTAATTAAGGTTGAATGTTGCCTTTTTACATTCATTACATATGCTACTGCTTTTCGTGTAACAGCGGTTAGTAGGAGCTTTTTCGTCTTATACTTGAAGATATTACCCACCATTGCTTCAATTTTCCTCCATGATTTAGTCCATGGGTCCGACGGGTTATCCAGTTGCTCCCTTAATATTTTTAACAGTGTGGGATTACTTTTTGTTTTAAATATATCAAATATAAACCCGGACTGCCTTGAATAAATTCTATACTGCATAGGCATTAATCCTGCATCCATCCAGGCTAGTGCTCTTGAAGTTGAAGGGGGAACTTGTAATATAAACCTTCCTACCATATTTTGTATCCTTTCAAGTTCCCTTACTGTACTTTTCTTAATTGTAATAGCTTCAACACAGTACAAAATAGCTGGGATGGCACATGTTTCCCAAATTCTTTTAGCTATAAGGGCTCTATCTAGGCCCCCCCTGGTCAGGTTCATTATTGAATAAGCGTAACTTGTAGCTCTGTTTATCATTAGTTCTTCATACTGGCCGACCATTGATCGACCTCTTACTTGAATATTAACTCCTAAGTATTTAGCCACTAAAACTTCTTCAATTGTTTCTTCATTGATAGGCCAGCTTATATTGTATGACGCATTCGAAATGATATAAGTTTTACTTGTTGCTAAGCTCAATTTATTATCCTCGCAAAAATTATTCACTAATTTTAGCAGTTTTATCATCCCTGTTCTTGGTGTTCCAGAGATTAGTACCAGGTCGTCCGCGAAAAAGAGAGCTGTTATCAATTCTGCGCCTATGTTTATCCCTAACTTGGACCTATGTAAAGCTGTTCCTAATTGTGCTATGTATAGAGAAAATAGTAGGGGGGATAAACTACACCCCTGTTTTACCCCTTGTGTGAAGTAGAGTGGTTCCGATACTCCTGACTCCAGGCTTATTCGAACTGAATCATTGTAATACATGCTTCTAATTATAGAAACCACTCTTCCGCCAAAGCCTAAATAGCGTAACTTAGTGTACAATAACTCTCGGCAAACTGAATCATATGCTTTTGCAATATCACAGAAAGCAATTGATATCGTTTTATGTTTTCTTCTGGCTGTTTTTATAGCGGATAATATTATGAAAACACAATCAGTAGTTGATCTTTGTTTACGAAACCCATATTGAATTATACCATATAAACCTTCCCGTTCACAAATTATATTCATTCTAGCATGTATTATTTTTGTTATGACGCACAGCATTACACTTGAAACTGTTAAAGGACGTTTTTTCGTAATCTCAAGGGATGGTTCTTTCTTATCTATTAAAGTCATTTTCCCTGTATTGAAAACTTGAGGTATATCACCATCTCTGAAACAGTTGTTAATTAACCCGGTAAAGTGGCAAATGAATTTATCACTGGCATTCCTTAACATTGTTGTTAAAACTCCGTCTACCCCTGGGGCCCTTTTAATTTTCAACCCTTTTATTACCTTTTTAACTTCCTCAATAGAACACGGAGCACAAACTTCATCCTCATGTTTAAATTCATCATTTATTTTTGGAGTCCATTTCTCATAATTAAAACTGTTCTTAACCGTAATTTCTTTAATTATCTGTTCTCCATGGGACTCAAAAATTTGACTTTTTTTACCATTAAATATATTTGCCAACCCTGTTATAGCAAGATCTGCCACTTTTTCCCTTTCAGTTTCCACTTTACCGTCTGGACCCTTTAAAGAAGTTAATCCCCCCTTTTTTTTCTCCGTTTTTTTTGACCAAGCTCCAAAAAATTTCATTTTTAACGTCATCTCGTAACCTTAATTTTTGTGTATTTTTTGCCTTAAGCTCAAATGAACGATTGCTAATTGCTTCTGATACTGCACGAGATTCCTTAACAGCTGCATTTAAGCCCTCTTGATCCTCCACAGTCCACTCTTCATTATTAATTGCCCGTTTAATCTTTATAAGTGAAAGACCCTTTTCTTTTTTCTCTAACTCTTTTCTTTGCCTTTTAAGCCGTTTCAATTTAAATACATTTCTGGGTTTTCGTTTTAAAACTGGTGCAGTATTATATGAATTAACATTAGAAGCAATTAGAATTTGTTGCAGTTTATTTCCCGCCTCATTTAGTGTTAAATTATCCCAATTTACCTCATCAATCATAATATCCATGGCATTCATTGCTAATTTCATATCCCTTTTCTCTGATAAAGATATACTATACTTCTTTGGTTCGGGTGTTTTACCTAGTCCTCCTACTAGGTTTATATCCAACCTAATCGCAACATGATCACTCCCTGCCAATATCTCGATGTCGGTATCAATTCCCATTCTTAAGACATCATTCATCATATTTTGAGTTACCAGGACATAATCAAGTATGGCACTAGAGTGTGGGGTGATTCTAGTGAATGTACCATTACATAAGTCCTTATGTTTATTAATCATAATTAACTCATTCTCTTCAATGAAAGACAGTAATTTTTTGCCATTATGATTAACCCCTGGCCAGTTACCTTCAATTCCCCTGGGTGGTACCCCAACATGAGCATTTAAGTCCCCTATAACTGCACATTTATAACCATCAGATTTTAATATATTAACTTCTTTACTAATTGCAGCATAAATTTGATCATTCCATTCTTTAAAATCATTACTTATAATCGACTCGCAGGCCATATACACTGAGCATATAGCAATTCTACATCTATTATTATGTATTAAGATCCATATCCTTTCGCTATTTATCCATTCATTATTTTCCATAGGTGGGGTCCATTTAGTGGCCTTAATTCGGTCCGAACATAAAATCATTTTCCCCCCTCCTTGCTTTACACCAAAGTCCCGTTCTATAAAGATTGGTGAGTAATTTGAGAAGGCTGTTAAATCAATGTTTGAATCCTTTTTAAAATGCGTTTCATCAACCATTAGCAAATCCACTGACTCATTTTCCATTAAATCAATAACCTCTTGCTGTTTACACAAACAATGCATTCCATTAGCGTTCCAGTACACACATTTAAGTAAGTTAGCATTAGACCCTGACTTTATTAATCTCTTCATCATCCTGTGTTTAATCGCTCTGGCCTTGCTGCTTGGCTTACCCATATTTAATTGTAAGCACAATCTTGTTTTTATATCTGAAAATAAATTAATAGGTTAAAGTTAACCTTAATGTACTAGTTTTGCTCTAAGCCTGACCTTTTAAGACGCCATAGTGGAAACTAACTAATTTTGAAATAACTTTTTAGGCTTAGCAATATTTTTCCACTTTACTAATTACCCACTATCTAATTTTATCCCGCGACTAATTATCCAATATAATACTCCTGTCTTCCTTCAGGCAAATACTGACAAATAAAAATCAGTTAATCTTATCATTTACATACTAATTTTGTCATAATTTTAAAGGCTTAGCCCTACTCTCCACTTTATTCATTAACCTATTATATACTTTTATCCTGCAACTAATTATAAACTTTAATAAAAAATTACTCCTAATTAGTACAAAAAATACTCATTTCCATCCGAATAAACAAAAATCATGCTTTCTTTTCGAATAAAACTTCATTTATTTCACATTATTTATATAGTGAAAGAAAAATTTGCTCCATGAGTCGCCAGAATTCTTGACTTCAGATCCTTATCCGTCGCCTTATGTAACCATGGATTATGGCCTATCGCCTGGCATTCACTGCATCTGAGCAGGCTCCAAATACACTTGTCTTCAGAGTGATTTCCTGTAGCACAATACACACATAACCTTTCTTTAAGATCTGTATATATCTATTTATCTATCTAGGGAAGGATGGAGAAGATGAAGACCATGTTAGTATTCTACTAGAGCTAGTGTCCAGGTATAAAATGGGACACATGCATGTTAGTATACTACTAGAGCTGGTGCCCAGGTATAAAATGGGACACATGTATGTTAGTATACTACTAGAGCTGGTGTCCAGGTATAAAATGGGACACATGTATGTTAGTATACTACTGGAGCTGGTGTCCAGGTATAAAATGGGACACATGTATGTTGTTTTCCTTAAATATTATTTCAGCATTGATTAAAGGAATTTTATTATTGCTATTCACAAAAATCTAGATCAACTTTGTTCGTAAAATCCTAGAGATTATTTGTATTTTTGGCTTATTTGGTCAAGTAAGCAAGGTAAAAATTCTTGAGAAAATTTATTTTCTTTTTGAAATAATATTTTTTGAAATAATATTTTTTGAAATAATATTTTTTTTAGATCACTGACTGCTACATTTTCTGGAAAGATTGAATTCAGCGTTGTTTCTGATTCTGGGGAGAAGGTTTTTAGGAAGAAAAAATCTATTAAGGTTTATTTTTATAGTTTTTTTTTTGTAAAAACAAAGAAATGCTATTGAGAAAAACGATTTCTTGCAATGAAATAACTGAGACTATGAATGATTGGTATTTTTTTTCAAACATAATAACCCCATTTTAATGTTTATGTTCCAAACGACTTTTGTTATGTTATAAACATTTTTCTTTCTTTTTAATAGATGTTTACGGATTCATTTATTTTTTTTTTTTAGGAATCTGATACACAGATTGGTAGACCCATGTTTGGACTTTTAGCTGCTAAATTCATACCACACGGGTTAGTTTCACAAACCTATACCACATGAAAGATTTTCTTAAATTTATACCACACGGATTAGTTTTACAAACCTATACCACATGAAAGATTTTCTTAAATTTATACCACACGGGTTAGTTTTACAAACCTATACCACATGAGATATTTACTGAAATTTATACCGCACGGGTTAGTTTTACAAACCTATACCACATGAGATATTTACTGAAATTTATTCCACACGGGTTTGTTTTACAAACCTATACCACATGATATATTTACTTAAATCAGATAAAAGACTCAGTTCCTTTATACCACATTGGTTAGTTCTACAAATTCATACGACATAGGTTAGTTTCTCTAATTTATACTACAAGAGTTAGTTATACAAAACTTTACCACATGTGTTAAAGTAAAATAATTATAGCATATAGGAAAGTTTCTAAAATTTAAACCAGTCGGGATAGTTACTTAAGTTTGTAATACTAGGCTTTTTTTACAAAATTGAATAATTTAAGATAAAAATATTTTAAGATTACATATTTAAAGTCTTATTGGCCACAAACCTTCCCTGGGGCCACGTGAGGTCCCACACAAAATTTGGGCCTGATCGGTTCAGCCGTTTTGACGTATATTGGATACAAACAAACAGACAAATAAACAAACAGACAAATAAACAGACAGACAAGCTAAATTTATATAATACTAGGCTTTTAGGGCGCGTCGCGCCCATCTTCTATTTAGATTGTGAACACGTTCGTTTTGTTTACATTTTAAAACAAAGAAGAAAAAATTTTTGCAGATTTTAAAAAAAATCGCGGATTTTCAAGAATTTAAATAATTTACAAAATTAAAAACCTTTAAAACACATTTTTATTTTTTATTTTTATCATTTATAAACCTCCCCTGTGGTCACGTGATGTCGTTCAGCCGTTTTGACGTTTATTGGATACAAACCGAAAATAAACAAACAGACAGACAAGCCAAATTTTTATATAGATACATAAATACCAGAAAGGTGAGGTTTACAAAGGAACTGAGTTTTTGTCACAATCGCGGATTGTCTAATCCCTATATATTGCAACCCAATGTCGTAGACCTTTACTATTTAAAACTATAAATTCTGTTAGATAAAATAGTCTAAGTTTGATATGTCAATGGTTTACATCAGCAGGTTGGACAGATACAGGGATTAGAAAATTATCATTTTTGGCAACAAAAAAAAACTATTGCATATCTTCATAGTTTTTAGTCGTCTTCTTTGTACTTTCCTCTTAAAATGAAGTAACACATGAGGAGTTTTTATTCGTCTTCTTTGTACTTTCCTCTTAAATTGAAGTAACACATGAGGAGTTTTTAGTCGCCTTCTTTGTACTTTCCTCTTAAATTGAAGTAACACATGGGGAGTTTTTAGTCGCCGTCTTTGTACTTTCTTCTTAAATTGAAGTAATAAATGAGGAGTTTTTAGTCGCCTTCTTTGAACTTTCTTCTTAAATTGAAGTAACAAGGAGGAGATTTTAGTCGTCTTTGTACTTTCTTCTTAAATTGAAGTAATAAATGAGGAGTTTTTAGTCGTCTTTGTACTTTCTTCTTAAATTGAAGTAACACACGAGGAGTTTTTAGTCGTCTTCTTTGTTCTTTCCTCTTAAATTGAAGTAACACATGAGGAGTTTTTAGTAGTCTATTCTGTACTTTCCTCTTTAATTGAAGTTTAATAAGTTTAATACGCGTAATAGGGAAAGAGCATTGAATCATACGATGAACCCGATTACAGAATAAGTATACTTTAGACACCTCGAAATCGCAGAACTTTTCAATGTATTGCCTTTTTTCTCTCTATTAGTGTAGGATAGAATAGAAAGAATTGTAGCAGCGCTAAATATGAACTTTTTCTTAGATTACTAAAGCTGGATGGATCTTCACAAAACCAAATAACTCCAGATGATAAACTAACTGTTCTCTGTGAAATAACAATAGACGGGAAGGACATTCAACAGTCTGGGAAAGTCCAGGTATCAGTATTTAAACTTTCAAAATTAATTCTCAGAAGAAATTAATTTCATTTTAATTTGAAATCTTGCATGATTTAAAAGACATCTCTTATTTTTCAAAATCTAATCAATGTATTTGAAACTGTCTTTTTCTTAACTCGAACAGCGTTAAAATCTGATAAATTCTCTGTTGCTTTTTACATGCAAGGAATGCGCAAGTAATTTTTGCAGAGAACCCGCCAATGAAAAAAAGAAGAAAAAAGAAACAAAAATATAAATATCTATTTCATTCTTGATCAGACAATGCTTTTAAGGGTACGTTGAATATAAGAACTAGCTTGTTCACCAGCTTTGTCTGAAAACTAAGATTTCCCCAAAATAGTTAGCGTACTTAACCCTTATCAAGGTTATAATGCAAGGAAAGTTATTTCAGAGGTGTACGCATCCTTTGTACTGCAGTGTACTGTACCTCTGGGCGGTAATGTAAACATAAAACGGATGTCACAGCCTGACATGGGATCCATCTTTAACATAAAAAATCAATGAAATATTCTGGTCAAAGAAAACTATTGAGTGAATTATCAAAATTAGCAAAATTTAATGCCTTTAACCTCCTCGGATAATAAACGAACACTGATGCATCTATTCTTGTTTACAAATTTCGCCCAAAGAAAACTGGTTTCAATATGTACGCAGAGTATAAGCAACTGCTATTAACTTTCCTTGCATTATTACCTTGCCCCTTATAATGTTAAAACTTAGCAAAGTACATTTCCATGGTTCTAACAAGTCACCCAATCAACATTTGAGGCAAATCAGTAATGATCGGACAGACAAACAGAGATTACTTTATTTGTATAATATTTAGAATAATTGGTTAGAATACTGTTTAGGCTGATACTAAGATGTCTGCTCGAGTGTGTTTGGAAAAACTATCTATGGATTTCTCCAAGTTAATGGAGGAAGGACAATTCAGGTTTAAACCTCTTAATTGAATTAATAATGTAGGACGCAATATATTTATAATTATATATATATAAGTTGCATCTAGAAAAAAATTGATCTTGATTATGTTAGAATGGACAGTGTTCAAAAGCAAGAACTTAAATATATTTGGATGGAAAGGGTTAAAACGCAATAATTCTTAAATATGTTAGGATGGAAAGGGTTAAAAGCAAGAACTCTTAAATATATTTGGATGGAAAGGGTTAAACAGCAAGAACTCTCAAATATATTAGGATGGAAAGGGTTAAAGAGCAAGAACTCTTAAATATATTAAGATTGAAAGGGTTAAAAAACAAGAACTCTCAAATATATTAGGATGGAAAGGGTTAAAAGGCAAGATATCTTTAAAATATGAGAGTATAAATGTGAATAATATTTTTCAAGTGCTCAAATCTTCATCTTTTATTTAAAAGGCCATTGGGTGACAAGTGACCACCCATCCTTACTTAATCTTTTAAAACGGGATGTTTATTAAAGTAAATAATATTTAATTGAATATGGTAATGTGGCACGATTTGGTCGTGCACTGGAACTCTAGCAATGAAAAATGTGTCTAAAAACGGGCAAAATAAAGGCGATAATTCTCCAAATATACTTTCTCAACTCAATTTGGATTTATTACTTGTTTTCCTAGTGATGTAACAATAGTTTGTTTGGATGACAAAACAGAAGTTAAAATACAGGCACATAAATGCGTTCTTGGGGCCAGGTTAGATTATTCATTTATTCATTTATTCATTTATTCATTTATTCATTTATTCATTTATTCATTTATTCATTTATTCATTTATTCATTTGTTCATTTGTTCATTCTTTCATTTGTTCATTTGTTCATCCTTTCATTTGTTCATTTGTTCATTTGTTCATTTGTTCATTTGTTCATCCTTTCATTTGTTCATTTGCTCATTTGTTCATTTGTTCATTTATTCATTTGTTCATTTGTTCATTTGTTCATTTGTTCATTTGTTCATTTGTTCATTCATTCATTTGTTCATCTTTTCTCTAATTCATTTATTCATTCACTCATTCATTTATTCATATATCAATATATTCTTTCTATATATTAATCTAATTTATGGGTACAAGGTATTCACCCAATACACATTAAAATGAAATGACGATCTTTAAATGTCTTTGATTTGATCTTTACTGTACACCCCAGGACATCGAAAATCAAAAATGCCTTATAATTTGTCTCTTGATTTATATGTTTATTGGGATACCCTGTATTATAATAGATTATGTTTGTATCCAGGTCTCCTGTTTTCAACGCTATGTTCCACCACAATATGGCTGAAAGCCAAAACAAAGAAGTAAAAATAGTTGATCTTAATCTAACAACCGTTAAAGATATGCTGAAGTAAGCCATTATCATTATTTATTATTATTTTTATTATTCTGGTGTTGATGCTCATGTTCATGTTCATGAGGTTGTTTTTATTGTTAATGCTGATTGAAATTGATGTTGTCGTTGTTGATATTGACGATGCTGATGTTCATACTGGTAGCGATGTCGATTCGGATGCTCATGCTGCAGTTGCTGTTGTTGTTTTTGTTATTATTATCAACTTTTTAGAAATATGTATCTGGGGGGAATAGAAGATTTAAATACAAGATCTCCAAACCTACTGTTATTATTGTTATTATTATCCACAATTTAGATATATGTATCTGGGACGAATAGAAGATTTAAATACAAGATCTCCAAACCTACTGTTATTATTGTTATTATTATCCACTATTTAGATATATGTATCTGGGACGAATAGAAGATTTAAATACAAGATCTCCAAACCTACTGGAAGCCGCTGACAAATATCAACTCTCTGAACTTAAAGAAATCTGTGAGGTTAGTTTTAACAGAATCCATCAATCATCTATAATCTATATATTGTAGTAATCTCTGTCTGTTTGTTTGTATGTCCAATCATAACTCATGAACCCGTTGACCGATTGGCCTCAAATTTTAATTGGGGAACTCGGAAGAACCACGGGAATGTTCTTAGCTTGGTTTTAAGATTCTTAGCTTAGTGGGTCAACTTTTATAGGGAAAAATAGCTAAAATCGTAATTTAAGACCAAGCGCTTGTAAACGGCGGGAAAAACTATGAGTACCCTGGGCAACGCTGGGTTCCCAGGCTAGTCAGTAATATTTTACCATTTAAATGCACAAGTAACATTAAAGTAAAATTCATTTGTTTACTTAGTAAAATACTTGCTGGGTTACAAAACTATTCAGATTATATTCTGTTCTTGAGCATTGTTCTTGTTCGTTAACGTGTTAATGTGTTCATTTTTCTTTTTCTTTTTTCGTTTTCTTTGTTTGTCGTTATTCACATTCTCAGATTAATACCAAAATCGTGGTATTCAAGAGTTAAATGTCGATATTCATCCCCCCCCCCCCCTCCCTGGCATCAATGGACCTGAATATCAAAATCTGGATTAATTGATCCAATTGTAGTCACTTAAACCAAAAAATAGAAATAGTGGGATTTTTAGTGAATTAAGAAAAGCAAGTCTAATAATTGATATATATATTTTGTAGGAAACCCTGTGTGGGAATTTAAATGTAGAGAATAGCTTGGAATGTTTAGTTTTAGCTGATCTTCATAGTGCTCAGGTTTTGCAAAATTATTCTTCTTTACTTCTTTACTTCTTTACTTCTTTACTTCTTTACTTCTTTACTTCTTTACTTCTTTACTTCTTTACTTCTTTACTTCTTTACTTCTTAACTTCTTAACTTCTTAACTTCTTAACTTCTTAACTTCTTAACTTCTTAACTTCTTAACTGACTTACTGACTTACTGACTTACTGACTTACTGACTTACTGACTTACTGACTTACTGACTTACTGACTTACTGACTTACCGACTTACCTTTCTATGTCTTTTTCAGGAATTAAAAGAAGCATCAGTTAAATTTATTGTAGACCACTGTGCCGATTTTGTAGATCAGGTTTTAATTATTCTTCTTATTTCATCAATTTGATATTTATTGTTATAAGTTTATAATAAAAAATATTTTTAATTTAATCATCTCACTTTATTTTTAGATTGATAAGTTTAAAGAGTACCCAGATCTGATTGCCGAGCTATTTAAGGAATTAAAATATTTCAAGATTCAACCTTTGTCTCTTACTTTACACATTATTTGCCTAAAATTTCTGAAAAAAGTTGACTATTTAATCCTTGAAAACTTTGATAGAGTTTAATGAAGTTTCAAGAAATAGAAATTACAATTCTAGACTCAAGATTATTATGATAGTTTATAGGTTTTTCATCAGATAAATGCGAACTTTTATTATGAATTAATTTAAGAATTATCTAGAAGGGGATCTATAAAACTGTGGATTGGAAGCCGACATGTTGTTATATATAGCAAATTGTTTTACAAGTAACTTTAACTTATTTGGTGAAATGGGTCTGTGCTGCACAATCTCAGTGTTTCATGTTCATTGGACTATTATAGATCATAAGTTGAGTCGAACAGTCGTCTTCCTAATCCACAGTTTTATGGGTCTACTGTATTAGTTTCATACTAATAGAGTCAAAAAAGGCATTAACACATGAATGAATTTTCATATTTTATGGAAAAAATCAAAAATTTTAATATTTTAATTTTAAAAGGCGATGGCAAGGAGTCCTCCCTGCAAACGAAGAAAATAGCTTTATTGCTCCAAATATTGGGATACGGAAATTAAGTCTCTCGACCTGGATCTGGAAACTAAGTCTCTTGATCTGGATCCGGAAACTAAGTCTCTTGATCTGGATCCGGAAACTAAGTCTCTTGATCTGGATCCGGAAACTAAGTCTCTTGATCTGGATCCGAAAACTAAGTCTCTTGACCTGGATCCGGAAACTAAGTCTCTTGATCTGGATCCGGAAACTAAGTCTCTCAACTTGGATCCGGAAACTAAGTTTCTTGATCTGGATCCGGAAACTAAGTCTCTCAACCTGGATCCGGAAATTAAGTCTCTCGACCTGGATCCGGAAACTAAGTCTCTCGACCTGGATCCGGAAACTAAGTCTCTTGATCTGGATCCGGAAACTAAGTCTCTCAACCTGGATCCGGAAACTAAGTCTCTTGATCCGGAAATTAAGTCTCTCGATCTTGATCCGGAAACTAAGTCTTTTGATCTGGATCCGGAAACTAAGTCTTTTGATCTGGATCCGGAAACTAAGTCTCTCGACCTGGATCCGGAAACTAAGTCTCTCGACCTGGATCCGGAAATGCTAAACCAACTTTCAAAATCCGGGTTTGTGAGACCGCTTTTCTGGATCCGGATACAAGTCATAAGTTTTCGAATCCGGATCCGCTATACTGGGTCCCTGGATAAAGACGACAAGACCGGATATTTACAGTTATAACCAGAAAACATTGGAATAGAAAGACGACGTTAAAGTAATAATTAAGTGTATTTGATATTGTATTACAAAGCAAATAGTTTTACTAGGCACATATTAATTTAAAGTTATAACATGATTCTAAAAGTCGTCTTTATATTTGATATTTTAGAGTTTTCTGGTTATTACTGTTACATAATATTTATAGAAATCCGATCATTAAATAATCTTTTTTAAATGAACATATTTTTCCAACAGGTTAAAATCATTAGTACAGGAACTGTAAGCGTAAATTTTCAGTGACTTTCCATGCAAAGATGGCAGTGCCCGATTAAACATTTAAACCAGTTCTCGGGATCCGGATACGGAACTGGATTCAAAAGATTTTGGCTGACTGGATCCGGATCCGCAAAAATATGCGGATCCACGGATCCAGATCAAAGGGGTAAAATTTCAACCAAAAACTGCAAAAAAAAACTTTTTTATTCTTAATCCCTAAATCTGAACTTTTGAAAAGGAGAGAGAGATTATAAAAATTTCCTTATTTCTTAATGGTTCATCAAGTTTTAGATAAAAAATAAGCAAAAAAATAGAAAAAAAATTTGAAATTTGGATCCGGATACATTGTTTCCGGTGCGGATCCAGGATCTGGATCCGGATCCGCATCAAAATTAAATGGATCCTTAGCACTGCTTTACACTTTGATAATTTGAAAATAAAACCGTCGTTTTTCCGACTCCAAAGATTTTTATTTTTCCGTGTTTTTCTACTGTGAAATGAAAATAAACAGTTATTAGAAACAAAGACAGAGATATATAATTTACCGTTATAAACCGGGCATCTTTGCATAGACTTAGAATAAAATTAACAGTTTTTAACCCGTACGTGGTTTTATTATTAAAAATAGTTTCCGAAATGCGTTTGAAAAGGAAGGGATACGTTTTTTTTACTTTTTTAATTTGTTTAATCTACCAAATATTTAAAATCATGTTTGACTGAAATGTGTGGACCAAACCGCTGTAGAGTAAAAAAAGTAGAGGTTAGTTCCACATTTATTGAAATTATATTTCGGTGTGTTCTGACCCTCGTCATTTCTCGAGATTGCTTCTGTAAGGAAGACTAAAAAGAAACTAACGCAAATTTTATTTGTTTAGATTACAGAATTTGAGTTCTTTAGAAATTCGTCTTAAAACGTTTTTTGAATATTTTTTCGTTGAAGAGTTATACATAATACCATCTTATTAACCATAAAATTAATGTTTTAAAAAAACTGAATTAAGACATTAATCTAACATATTTCACCTAAATTTCTAAAGTGTTGTCAAAACTAACGCTTTCTAACGAGTACTTCATGGAAAACTAGCTAAAAAAATTAGATGGAAATTCATTCCAAACATCAGAATTTGTGTAAAAACCTCGAAATACATAAATTTTAAGTTGAAGATTTAAGGAAGTCGCCGTCTGTACTCGTAACGTCGTTTTTGAGACTTAAAAACATTAAAGTTCTCTTATATCCAGGGCGAGTATTTCCAGACAACCAGCGCACCACATAAATACACGAGTGTTATAGTTATATATGCTTTATTGAAGTAGTTATTGCCAACTTCAGTCCTCACACTATCAACTGAAATTAAATTAGTATAAGAAAAAAATAGTTATGTTTGTTGTTTTACAAAATGTTGCTACAGGTCTCAAAATAAGCTTTAATTTCCCAAGAATAAAGAAACCAGATAAGGTAATATGTTCTGTTATATAAAACACAATTACAAAGTTGCTCGGGCTAGGGTTTTAATATGAGCTACAGTTTTCGAGGAGATCTCTTTTGCTTCATTCAGAGTCTTTTCGAGTTTAAAAGAGAGTTCTTTGTGAGTTATGATTGATAGACAACAATCTTATAAATCACTTTTGTTAACTATAAGCACAGTAATTGCAGTATACCTTTAGGTGCGATCCTTAAAGCAGTGAAGGAGAGTTTCAGAGAACTAAGGAAGACGACATTCTTAAGATAGAGGAATCTATAGTTTAGGTCAGATCGTTATATTTTTCTCTCGTTGACAAATCTCACCTGAACAGGACACGTCTAAAGCAAATTACTTTCCAACATAAGCCATCGTTGATCAGCGAAGATCCATTTTAGAGATAGGTTGATGTAGATTCAGTAAAATATCAAATTTTAGAAAGAATTAAAGTGCATGAACAAAAGCAAAAGTAAACCCATTCTTGTTGACTGTGGTAGACTTTAACATCCACCATTATCAAAGGGTGTAAACCCAATCTTGTGAACTGTAGTAGACTTTGACATCCACCATTAGCAAAGTATGTAAACCCATTCTTGTTAACTGTTGTAGACTTTGACATCCACCATTAGCAAAGAATGTAAACCCATTCTTGTTGACTGTAGTAGACTTTGACATCTACCATTAGCAAAGAATGTAAACCCATTCTTGTTGACTGTAATAGACTTTGACATACACAATCAGCAAAGGGTGTAAACCCATTCTTGTTGACTGTGGTAGACAGTAGACTTTGACATCCATATACCATCATCTAAAGGTGTAAACCCAAACTCGTTGACATCTACCTTTGGCAAAGAGTGTAAACCCAATCTCGTTGACTCAAGTAAATAGTAATGGTAAAATAAAAAAATTACAAATAAACTTCTCGAATCAGATCTACGTACTTTCATTTCTATGCAAAAACTGTAATTTTCTAAATATATTTTCACTAGCTGTGTGAACAAAATTTAATTTTAACACGATATGTAAAATCATCAGAGAATGTTTCGCCTGAATAGAGTTCGAAATGCTTAATTTTTAGGAAAGGGATAAAAACACATTCCTTGCTCAATAAGAAATTAAAACATTTGTTTACATAATAATTTTGCAGTAAGGAAAAGCATTATATTGATTATCTTTTATAAATTAATGCTATTAATTTAATAACATAACTTGTTTCAGAATACAGTAGAATATTATTTAAACAAGATTTAATTAAACTGATACTTTTCGATTGTTATGGTCCTAAGCATTAAAAAATTTGACATGAATATTAGATGGAATTTAATAAAACACTGATGGAGCAATGGTGTGATTACTGCTGATTAATTTTGTACTGACTTTCCTTTTTCAGGAACACCCTTTAATTCTCATCTTTTATGGTGATCCTGTATTGTATGCATGTATTATTCTAAAAAATGCATCATGTCTATCCATAAATAGTTTTGTTTGGTTTAGAACATTTTATATTTTATTATGTATTGTGATGAACATATCCCCCTGGCCTGTAGCGGTACCATCTCTTCCTGTGTAGTCGTCAAAACTGGGAAATGTTTAAAGGGGGGAGCTAGGTAAAATTCAAACTACACTGAAAATATTTTAAACCTTTTAAAATGGCAAAAAAATATGTAATAAATTTTTAATTTGAAAAAATAACCCCCTTTATGCAGTATTGTACTTGTACGTCTAGAAGTGTTAGAGCTAAGAGTCTTGAGAACGCGCCGAGGAGAAAGTATCGTATTGTAAGCACTAAGCACTGAGTGTTCAGTGACTCCTACGGGTCTATGGAGCAACAGCGTAAAGTTAGTTTCACGCACAAATCTAACAGTAGCGCAGTGAAACCAAAGATATAGTTAATTAACAGTAAAGAGAAGTGTTTATTAAGATTTAAATATCTTTAGGAGAGAAGTGATCTAGCTGAACATATAGGTAAAATCACTTTTTTATATTCCTGTTGAACTTTTAAAGTCATTATTTTTTTATCCCAATTGTATTTTATATGCCAATTGTATTCTATATTCCGGTTTTATTTTATATTCCAATTGTATTTTATAATCCGGTTGAACTTTTAAAGTCATTATTTTTTATCCCAATTGTATTTTATATACCAATTGTATTTTATATTCCGGTTTTATTTTATATTCCAATTGTATTTTATAATCCGGTTGAACTTATAAAGTCATTATTTTTTATCCCAATTGTATTTTATATACCAATTGTATTTTATATTCCGGTTTTATTTTATATTACAATTGTATTTCATATTCCGGTTTTATTTTATATTCCAATTGTATTTTATATTCCGGTTGTATTTTATATCCCAATTGTATTTTATATCCCAGTTGTATTTTATATAGCAATTGTATTTTATATTCCGGTTTTATTTTATATTCCAATTGTATTTTATAATCCGGTTGAACTTTTAAAGTCATTCATTTTTTATCCCAATTGTATTTTATATACCAATTGTAGTTTATATTCCGGTTTTATTTTATATCCCAGTTGTATTTTATATTCCGATTGTATGTTATATCCCAGTTGTATTTTATATTCCGGTTATATTTTCAGCCCCGACTGTATTTTATATCCCAGTTGTATTTTATATTCCGATTGTATTTTATATTCCGGTTATATTTTCAGCCCCGACTGTATTTTATATCCCAGTTGTATTTTATATTCCTATTGTATTTTATATTCCGGTTATATTTTCAGCCCCGACTGTATTTTATATCCCGTTTCTATTCTAAGCTCCGACTGTATCTTATATCGCGGTTACATTTTGAATCATGGTTATATTTAAAGTCCTAAATGTATTTTATAATCCAGAAAGAATTTTACATTCCGATTTTATTACATCTCGACCAATTCTATACGGTTAAAGGATTGATAATTTGAATTTCATCTCCTGGCTCTTGTTGAATTCTAAATAACACGAGTTGATCAGTATTTTGGCACAAATTCATGCATGCACAAATATATCATCAGGTTTTTGCACGAAATATGCTCGCTAATAAATATATTATCAAGTATTAAAATAGACTAATCCAGGCAGAGGGGTGGTCGGGGGGGGGGGGGCTTGGGAAATCTATGGATTTTAGGGGGTTTTCAGGCCCCAACGGGTGCTGAGCCCCCCTGGAAAGAAAAAAAAATTCTGGCTACGCCCCTGAATCCCTGAATCCAGGGCACTTGGCACCCTTTTTTAAAATTATGAAATGTTTCTTTTTTATTAAATAAATTTTTATTCATAACTTAATATATGGGGAATTTTTAAAGTCGAAATTTCTTATTCTGGCTTAACAAAAAATCACTAATTTGGTTATGTGCCAAAAAATGCGGGTTCAATGGTTTTAGCCGTTCTAATGTTGGATTTGAAATGTATTTAGGAAATTTTCTTTGTAATTTGTATTTGATATTTGTCTTATTTTAAATACTAATTGGCAAAACAAATCTGCACAATAACATGGCAATAAATCTTTATTACAAAACAATGCAACAAATTCGCACAAGTTGTATTTATGGACAGGCTATATTGCCAAAATATATCGTTATGATATATCGCAAAGAATATCTAACTTTCTACACAAAAAAAAACCACAACGAGACCCATGAAAACTGAGCCATGGGAAAAAAAGGATATTTAAGTACAATCTTATATTTATTTGACGCTTTATTTGACGTTTTAAACTAAATGTTTTTACCTCCATTAGCCTCACAATTAACATATTAACCCTATCCCGATTGGGCTTTTTTTGCCTAATATAGATGGGGGGGGGTTGTTCCCCCCCCCCCTATGATTTTTCACTTGGAGTTGAGGTATAGGAGTGTGAAAGTCGAACATTTCAAAACCTGCTCATTAAAAAAATTAGACTTCTATCTTTAATAGTTAGGGTGTAAGGGAGGATTTTTAAAAAGTTCAAAAAGTATGTCGACAATTTTTTCAAAATTAGTTATTTTTACTTGTAACAAATATGAACATATGCACATGCTATTATGTTCATTTTTCAAGGGCTTTTTCAAATATATAATTCGTAGCCATGTAGCTTTACTAATAAAAACATATTAACAAATTCTGATTTTTTTGAAACACCGACCCGCCGTTTTACCGTTCTCCACCCTATCCTATGCATAAAAAATATTTTAGCCAAATTTGTTTACAACTATTATGTTGAAAAAGTGAAGAAGGTGTAGCATTCTAATGTATTATTCAGAAGAAACCAAAAGGGGGGGGGTGGAAAACCCCCCACCCCCACCCCGTGATAGGGTTAAGTACTATACTATGTTTCATATTCATTGAACTATTTAAAATCATAACTTGAGTCGAATCAAGGTACTAGTGCAAGGAAAGTTATTTCAGAGGTGTACTCATTTTTTGTACTGCAGAGTACTGTCTTTGGGTGGAAAAGTAAACACAAGACGGATGTCACAGCCTCACATGGAATCCATTTTTACAAAAATAATTTATGAAATATTCTGGTCATAGGAAACTAGTATATGAATTTTCAAAATTATCAAAATTAAATGCTTTTAACCTCCTCGGATATTAAACGAACACTGATGCATCTAGTCTTGTTTACAAATTCCGCCCAGAGAGAACTGGTTACAATATGTTCGCAGAGTATACAAGACCGCAATTAACTTTTCTTGCGTTAGTACCTTGAGTCGAATAGTCGTCTCTGTATTACGCAGTTGTCTGGGTCACAATATTATTGAAAATGTTGATTGCTATTACATAATACAGCTCAATATAAAAAAGATATTATCAAGAATTTAGTAAATATTGTCTTTTAAAGGTTTTTTATTTCAATTTAGTAATTAGAAAATAGTTCATTTATAAATAATATTCACCAAATTAAAATCCAAACCATATGTTTTGGGTTGTTCGTGACTTTTCTTTATTTCTACTTCCGTTAAACTATTTCCGGTTTCTTGGAATTTATTTATCCCGACTGGGAGGAATGAGGATATTCCTCACCTCTCCCCTTTACGTTTAATACTTTTTTTAGCCCCCCCCCCTCCACGTTTTTTTCTAATTTTTAAATAAAAAATTTGATTTAAATTATGAACTAAACATTTGCCACAATGAAAGCTCCAATTTTTTCAAATCTATAATTTTTGCAACCAAAGGCCGAAAAATTTTGATATTTCAAATTTTGACCATGAGAATTGATAGTAAGAAAGATAAAAAAAAATGCGCGGCCTGCTGAGAGTAACTAATCAGTTTATTTAATTGATTTTTTTCACACTTTTCTCT